CACTATCTACATAAACAAAAAGAGCAAAAATTCGCAGAAAATGGATTCTTGTGGCATTTGCTTTGCCATCTTACCTAACACCGGGGCTGGCAGTATCTGGCGCAGGTTGAGCTACCGTGGGAACAGCAACACGGGCTTTTGTAACTTTGTTGAACTACCCACCAATATCTCATCACTTGTTGTTACTGGAGAATTCATGCGTAGAATGTTGCTTGGCTCGGTGAATACAGCTGCTGGATAGGAATTCGGAGACATGTTTGGTGAAGCAATAGCGTCAATATGCTGCGTGGATTTTATTTACTTTGTAAATCATCTTCTATCTTATGTTACAAAGTTGTTATATACTCCCTATCGCTCTCTTTAGAATAGCATTTGCAGCTCCTGTATATACGCAAACACGAAGCGAGCAACCAAGCATAAGTAACCTCCTTTAATTCATTGTTCTCTAACCAATGCGCCTTTGTACCACCGAGCGCATGGAATAGTGAACGATTGCCTTGTGGAAGCGATGTAAGATAGCCTCAGGATCATGGGATATTTGTAAGAGCTGCTGTTTCTTACTTTCATTCAAGTTTTCGTAAACCACCCACGTGGGTTCCCACTGTATCCAAACTTTGCCTGACTCCTCGTGGACAATATAGCCCCGGTGGCTGGAATAAGTTTGCTGCAGATAAAAGAAAAGACCCTTAGTCATTTGGGCAATTTTCCAGTAGGCTAGAAATGCTGGAAGACGGGTACGCACGTTTGAAGAGGGGGGTAAAGCCTTCGCCGCCACATATCCAAGCAAACCAGGTCGATCTCTACGAACCTCTATAGAGAATTTATAAATCAAATCTTGAGGCGAGGTTTGAATTGACTTCCTTTCTATTGTAGGCTCCCAGGAGATAAGTAGCTCGTCTTCGCCTCGAGCGTGGACAAGCCACCTATGATGTCCATCTTGACGAAGTACATGGTACTCACGTGCTGAAAGCCATGAACTTTCCCAAAATACAAGCATATTCAGGCGGTCGATACTGATAGCGCCTAAACAAGGCCATGCGTCTTCGTTGCTTGTATTGCTCTTAGGTTCAATCTTCATTTCTCCGTTTAGATAATAATCCGGTAGCGAAAATGTGCAAGAGATGGCTGCATTGAGTGGGCAAGGAGATTTATTAGATTTAGGAACGAGACAATTATATAAAGTCGAAAACTAAGTATCCAATACATTTGATGAGCATTATTGCAATCGGGAAGACGGCACGCTAGTCTGAATGCGTATAAGATCACATTCTACTATGTGAAAAATTGGAGTGGTCTACTCTGAAAGCTATCTAGATCACGCCCTTGAAGGTTCAGATTATATATTAAGGTATTCGAGATAATGTCTAAGACGGCCTTCAGAATCAGTTCTAGCAGTTCTGGCCTAGCCTGCAACACCTCGCCAAACCAAGCTGCCTCCACTAGCGTCAACTCATCGATACTGTTCACTAATGTCAGTAATAGCTTAATCAAAAATAAAACTTTATCGTACTCTTTTAGCTAAATAGGCTTACTAAGAACCTTCTCCTCAAGCTCCTCAAGCTCCAATCCAAATTCAGTTATGCTTAGGGAAGGCGAGTCGGATCCAAAGCTTGGAAATAGAATGAGCAGAGCTAGATCTAGGGACCTTCTACCTCGCAGAATATGATGTAGTATTCTCCCATCCTTAATGTATTTGTTGATATTGCGTCGAATCCGCTTTTCATTTCCACCATATTCTTTTGCGATCTTCTTTGAAATCTCGTCTTTAACCATATCAGGAGCTCGCCTCTTTCTTTCTAAAGGAGTGAGGTTTTCGTAAACTCGATATATTTCTTCAGTATATGGAGTAGGGGGCAGTATCTCAGAAATACCCTACTTGAAGCTAGTAGTCCGTTTTCAAGCTGAGACTCTTCGCCTCTCTTATATGCTATTACGCTTCTCCTCCTAGAGCGCTTTGACAGCACGCAGATATATCTCAAAATAGCAATATTTAATATATCGATTTCTAGCAACTAGGATATAACTTTGGCTTTCTTGCCTATCTAAATAGATATAGATGTGGAACAGTTTATCGAAAATAGGTTGCTCTATTGCTAAAGAAGCTTAGCATTCGTCTTTCCTAGTACAGGCCAGTTTGAGTAAGTCAAGAATATAGGGAGATCCAATCTCGTTCACACATTACAAAATACGTAGACAACGCCCGCGATTTATCTCGGAAGGCTTGCAGAGAAGTGATTCCCGCAACGCTTTAAGCTCGAAGTTCTCTAGATTTAGTAAGAAAACCTCGCTAGTTTATGATTTTGTCTCTAAGCGGGCCAGCTTCCATTAGGTATCAACCTGTTCAGACCCTATAAGTTTACTAGGGATGCCACACTTTTCGAGGACATAATCGCGTTAATAGGGCGCTAATAACTCCTCTAGAATACGTAGGCGTAAATCACGAGAGGATGGGACGTTCTAGAGGGGCCGGTGCTGAAAGTAGGCTTCTGCAATCTAAATCGATAGTAGTGTACTTTCTATGTGCGGCTCAATGCTTCAGGGCTAAAGAAGGTCAGTTAGTATTAGGAGTCGAGTGGGCGATCGACTTACATTAATATACTCCGTCCTCCATTCAGGACGTATTAGCCACGGAATCCTAAGAAGTGGCAGACCCCATGTTTTGCTATCAAGAATGAAGAACGTTTTGCTCCTCTCAAGCCCTACTATAAGTAGAGGCGAAGCATCTTCATTTCGACGTACGATTGCTATAAGATTGGTGTAGGTACTTCCTTCCACCGCCTCTGAATCGAATGCATCAGAATAAAGATCAATGATGAGAACTGGGCCAGGAAGTAACGTATATAATATACTATGGAGGAGTCTTGACGTAAGGGGCCGATCTTTAACTAAGGGTAATAGGATCTCCTGAGCATTAACGTAATCTGTATCCTTTGTAGTTTCTTGTGGAAGGCGAAAGCCTGAGTGATAAGCGAGATCTACGTAGCCTTGAAACGTTGGATTATCATCGGAATTCTCTGTGTGACTTTGGTTAGTTAGATATTGTTCGTTAGGATATACGGCGATTTCTTCGACGTCTCCCTGCACCTTATTATGCATAGAGGTAGGATACAAGTCTTCAAATGCTTTGTTGAAAAATTGCGGTAAGGGTAAGCTATTCAAGATATCTCCTCCAAACTGTCCGCCATTGAAGAGTGAATCTGAGACATCCTGCACTATTGAGCCTAGTGTTGGCTGATGGGCCAAACTAGGATATGGAAGCTCGGGAAACGGTTGATCCTCAGCATCTTCTAGATCCTCCAATGCTTGATATAGAGAAGTGGCACTAGTTTCCTAAAGATCTTGGGCGTTTAAGGCTTCATTAAGGACCTCCGCCGGCTGTACATCCGTATAATCATCTCGCTCGTTACTAAATAGCCCTGCTGTATGGGACGTAGGAGAGGATAGGTTTTCTCCCATAGAGTGCCTTAATTGCGTTGTTTCAGTCCCACAATTCCTCTCAAGAAGGATCTTGTCCGCTTGGCTGTCATTGTCGACTAGCAACAAGCTTGGATAATCCACTAGAGTCTCTGCTGCAGCATTCCTTATTTCGTGTTCAGCATGGTTTTCTTCGTAAAGAGTTGGAGACCGTGTCTTATAGTTTTCATTACTAGACTTAGACTCCGTCTCGTCTTTAGTGATAAATAGCGAGCCTGCTAAAGAACGTTGAGTAGCGGATGCGACGCGGCGAGAAGACCTCCGCACCCCTTAATTGATACTACCTATGTATGTATGCTGTCGATGGGTTTGCATGCTTGCTTGGCTAGCTCTCCTTATGGACATTTTCTGCTGAGCGTCCTTCTTTAAGTAGTTAAGCGCGTCTATCAGGGCCTTAAGATTATTATAGTCGATTGCCTCGCTTATTTGCAACTAATTGTCTGTAAAGCGCTTTATCTTATTAGGAAAATTAGCTTTGGCACGTTTTAGTTAGAATTTACACACCTTAATTATATCTAGAGCTGAAGACAGATCACAGTTTGGCACTATTGTGTTAGCGAATTGAATAGGCAAATTATGTACTGGGTTAGCAGGAGGCATTCTGCAATTAATTATGCTTTATTAGAAAAGACTTCCTAGCTAAGAGCGATTGCCTATCTTTTGTTGCTGCCTGTCTTCCGTTGCGCTAGTCCGGCCTAGAACGGATGGGTCTACTTGTAGGCTAAGTTAATGAAGCTGGCTTTTTCTGTAAATTACTAATTTTGGTCTAGCGTAATAAGCACGACACTTTGAAGTGCTCTTGCTTGTTACGCTAGACTAGAAGAGGCTGCTCTATATGATTATTATAGTTTGAGGGGTAAAGATCCGTCTCTAACAAAATGCTCTAGGAAAGGACTAGCGTAGTAAGTAGGAGTACTTTAAAGTGTCGTGCTTGTTATGCTAGTCCTTTTCTAGAGTATGTTTTTTAGAGATCGTGGTTTAGACAGATCTTTGCTGCTTAAGCTATGGTAGCTAAGTGTAGACGCCTCTTCTGGTCTAGCGTAACAAGCACGATACTTTGAAGAGCTCTTGCTTGTTACGCTAAGCTATTTCTAGAGCCTGTCGTTTGGAGAGAAATGTTCGCCTCTTAAACTATAGTGGCTATGTAGAGCAGCCTCTTCTAGTCTAGTGTAATAAGCACGACACTTTGAAGAGCTCTTGCTTGTTACGCTAAGCTATTTCTAGAGTAGGTCGTTAAAGAGATTAATTCGAAGAGTCTTTGCGGCTTAGAACTTATCTACTTTATGTTTAAGCTTCTGGCTAAAGCGATGGATAATACTTTTAGAAAATCGTTTGCTAAAGCTTAGCAGCTCTAAGGTATCTCTTTGGGCTCTTTTATTGTATTAGTCTCCTTTTCTGCGATTATCTTCACACTAGAAGTTCTTGCGTTTCTTATAATCCGCAAGCGGTTCCCCGATTTCTAGTAAGCTTAAAGCATTCTATTAGATCGAATACTAATGATTAAAGCGCTACTGTTCTAAATTATTAAGTTAACACATTCGAAAACTGGAAAAACTACATTGTAACTAATTTTGTTCGATTCGACTACTGTTATGGGCATCTCGATAGATACTTCTTCTAGCGGTACCTTCGAGCACTAGCCCTTATATTTGTTCCCGCTTCGATGCTTATACTACCTATTCTTATTCCTTTGAACTATACTAAAGGGAAAACTGCTGTTCTTAGAGTGAGTGGCCTTGATACGTTTAGATGGTCGAATGTCGGCCTTAATTAGGTAGATCGTTACTGGGTTCATCTCATCCTTAGTTTGCTTTTTATTGTATAAGTTTGCTGGGTTATCTAGAACGAGCTTGCATTTTACGTTTTAACTCGGCAACACTTACTATACGCGGCTTTGTGCACAGTGCTTATCAAATCTATACTTGATGATTGGATGTCCAAAGAGGCACTTATATCCTACCTTGAGATCTTCCTTGGCGCGGTTACTGCGATTTCTTTTAATCGTGACTATAACCTAATTTCTTGGTTAGTAGAGGGACGGGAACGCTTAGCTTGATTACTGGAGATAGAGGAGATTTCCTGGATAAGAAAGACCTACAGGGCAGGTATTTAGAAACGAAGTAAGAAATTAAACCTTACTAAAAGACCTAGAAACTTAAGCTATAGATTATACAGCCTTTTAAACCTATTTAATTGGCTGGTACGTAAAAAAGTAGATACTAGTATAGTATATTGGAAGGAATTTCTTAAAACTAGTGAAGAGATGGCATTTTATTAGGTAGCACTAGAGAAGTTTCCGCTATTAAGATCTGCCTTTGTTACCTTCGCTAATCTGCTAGCCGCCAACATGGTGTGTTAAATAGTGATTTATACTAGATTAGGTTATATAACACCCCGCATAATGCCTTTGTCTGTGGAAGATGTTGTATAGAGTAATGTTAAAATCACCTAGAGAGATAGAACTATACGCACTTTCCTCTCGAACACGCTTATTATAGCAACGGCGACTGCTTATGTTATACTAGTAGCGCTAGCGGGGCTTCTCTCCTAGATTATTTATATTACTTGGGCGATACCTTAGCTGAGCTGGGTTAACGAACTTCCAGAATCCTTCCTAGGTCTACTCTAGGGTGTTTTACCTCCTACACTAGTGGCCATCTTAACGAAAGGATTTGTTATTGTATTAGAATACTTTGTTCGAAAGTAGGGCATCTCCTCTAAGAGCTAAATTGACTTTAAGATTTAAGATTATTATTTTTATTTTCTCTTTACCTAAGTTACTCTTATAGTCTCTTTATCTGCAGGACTTACTACGATCGCGAACAAGATTACAAATAGAGCTTCGCTAGCTGGAACATTGGCTAAGAATCTACTAAAAGTAAGTAACTACTTCCTGTCCTACATTCTCTTATAAGCCCTTTCAGTTAGCGCTAACTCTCTGCTGAGATTTAATCGCTTGATAGGGAACTTCGTACTTGGCCCGATCTTTGACAAATTAGTTACTTAAATAATGATACGAAGAAGGGGCCAGGACCTCTAATAGGGCACTTTTGTACCTGTATTTACAAATCTCTCCTGTATTGGTAGGTTCTAGTTTGAAAAATACGTCTAGTATCACACGCTGAAACAAGCAGGATTTCTCTATGCTATTATCTCACCTATTATTATTCCTTTCTAGGTCCTTATTATAAGCTTATTCTAGATTATCTACTCGGGCTTAGGTGTTCTGATTACTAGGTAGGATCGTGGAGGTCTCTTCTATCCTAAAGTAATTAAATATCTCTTAATGGGCTTGTATCTGATGTAGGTCTGTCTTATTGCTCTGTTTCTTCTTGTACGAGACTCGTAGGGCAATGCTAGGTGTATTGGATAGGCATGCATTATGTTACTTGCTACTGGATTGACTATGATATACTATCGCTTGCTTTGCAGAGTATTTAATCCACTGCTGAGTTTTTCCCCCACTGCGCTTGACGAGAATCTAGCTAAGGAGACAATACCATCCCCTCCCTTTCTTCACAAGGCTCTTACATTAATTCTAGTAGTTCGCATTCTTGGTGATGGTTACGGGATTAGCTCTGCGCGAGCACTGCAGCTCAGAGAGGAACTAAAAGGCGTAGCAATATCTAATACAGACGCAACTATAACTGCATCAGGCAAGATATTCCTAAACTAGATAATCTACGGACAAGATCCTAGGATCTTTTTTGCACGGACATAGTAGCGACTAATGCCATTTTGCAAACATTGCCTTTAGATAATATGAATGTGTAATGTAACCTTTATGTCGCGATTACCAGGATGAGATGCACAGATCGTGCGTTCATGTTTAATCACCTCGTATGCACCTGAGTCATGTCTTCTGCCGCGCGCGAATCGAGAGCCACTTCAGGGATCCTTGCAAGGATTTAGGCTTGGGATGAAATGGCTCAAGCGGAAGGCGGACGAAGAAGACGAACGTAATTGCCGCTGTGCATGGGTTCGGAGAATCGGATATCGTTTCTATTGGTGTTGCAAGCGCTGGGATCAATAGCGTTTGAGGTAGGTCAAGCTTGCCGCGCCACGGTACAGCCGAATAGATGAAAAACGCCGAATAGATGATCGTCTCATGTGAGCATTCCGTTTTACAGGACCTGTTGAGGTTCACGAAATGGGACGGCATCCGAGAAAGCCAGGTAACGGCATACCCTTCTGCCAATTAGTGGCTCTGCGAACACTGTTGTGAAGGGGTGGGTGCTGCCAACGAGGGCGTGCGTAGACAGATTGCTATCTAATGCGAAAAAGACGCACAGCTTGTGTTTTCTATTCAAGAATCCTTAGCCACTTTACTATATATACTGCTGTGGTATAGATAGTGTATAAACAACTTCTTAATCGTGATTTACAGTGACTTCCGCAATTAATCTTAGTATGACTCTTTACGAGAAAGGCGACGTCGAAGTTCAGATCCAACAAACTCAGTTTCGTGTCTCTTCATCAGTTATGTTTAAAACGTCATCCGAGTTCGAAAAGCTTTTTACCACGCAAAACGGCACGTTGCGTAACAGTATCAAGCTTCCTAACGAAGATCCTAAAGCTTTCCACTTAATATACCAGTCGGCTTATAGCTCTTTTATACCGCAATCACACATATCGCTGCAAACGCTTATAAAGATAGCTGACGCTATTTAACGATACAAGATTCCTACTACGTTGCGCGTATATTATACTATAGCGTACAGTTTTATCACACAAACCCTAAGACTAGAAACGATTTCTATAACTAAGCTCCTTATACTTCTTCGCGTAGCTAAGGTTTTAAGCCCTAATAAGTACCATCAGTTACTCTAAGATGTCTTTTTTGTCCGTCCACTTCAACTGGGGCTATTGCTTACTAAGCAGTTTGCTAGTAGTTAAGATATAGATTGTATTGTACTATTAGGTACGTAGTCTGCCCTAGCGAGCACTATATAAATTACTAAATATCACAGCAAATCTAATGCTTCGAGGTGCAGTATATCGCTTAGAAGTAGTAAGTAGGCTGTTAAGTCTGCTAGGTTATAGCGAAGCTCTCTATCTACGTAAGAAAAACGAATTAGCTGTATGGATCTTAAATAAAGACCTAAGCCTATAAGAGATAAATGCTTAACTTTGAAGTTTACGGAGCGCTATAGATTTTTAGAGAGAACAGCTGTTAGATGCTAGTAGAGCAATTGAGGAAGCGACTATAGATATTAGCTATTACGTCCGCACTACTATAAGAAATGCTTAGGAAGTTAGAGATAATTTTAAAGAAAAGGTTCTGAAGCTAGATAAATGCTATAAGTTTAAACGCTTAGATGTTTAGATTGCAGAAGACGGCTAGATATTAAGGAAACTAGGGAACGCTAATAATCTAAAACTAGAGCGCGTTTCTTTAAGTAGTATATAGTTTAAGAATATGGAGGCCTATAGCGAACCTATAGAAAACCTCCTTAATAGCTATTTAGAATTTAAAGACGACGAGTCTGTTATTTCCGCCAGAACAGTATAAGTATATATACTCTAGCTCTATATAGGAGACGTCTTAGAACACGAGAATTTCGCACTACTAGATATGTAGTAAACATAATTTTATTACCCTTAATTAGATGTATGGATTCCTATTCTTAACGTTAAGAAGAACTAAATCTCTTATGATTGATTTGATTATAGCTATCGACGCAATCTCGCCGCCTCTGCTAGGTCTGCCTCTGTAAATGACGAAAACTCTTGTAGGTCTGATATACTTCCTAGAAAATTGTTATCTACTTGTGCTAAGTCAGGTTCTGTTAATAGTAGATCTAGTTGTATTGGAGGCGCCATGAAATTACTTTGTTAAGGCTCAGTTACAGCAAAGCTTAGAAGTGATGAGGTTTCTAGCTGTAATTGTCGTAGAGACAAAGTAGATGTGGAGCTTAGTACTGTAACCTAGTGCTGTAACTGGTCGGAGCCGGTTTTTATGCACACAGGTAGTGTATTAATATATGCTATAATGTCGTGCGAGAGTGGGCGATTGTCTTCCGAGCTCTGCCCTAGTAGTACTAGTATGTTATGACTAATTTGAATGTATTCGTACAACGTTTGTACTGTATCCTATAGCTGTTTGATGTGTGCCTTAAGAAGAGCTATGCTATATATAATGTGAGTCTACTGAACTAATTACTTCTCTTCTCCTAGTAATACTCACAGAGACCTTCTATCCTGATGGTGGCCCGCATCTTAGCTATAATTACACAACGCGTCGTTTATTCGGCATCTATTGCATACACGTTCCCTATTATATAGTAGTAACGTAAGTCTTGTAGCTAATCGCATCTTTAATAGCTGCGCTTACTTTTGTTTTCTTAAACCGACACTAATTGTATACTTGCTTTACTTATTGCCTAGACCTTTGCATTGTGCCTAAGATCCTTTGTAAATGCATATTATATAACATGCTAGCTATTATGTAGGAGTAATATATGTGCTCAAACGCAAGCATAGAATAGTAGCTATTTGTTAGTGTTATGCCACAATCGTGTATATAGTAACTAGCTAAGAGTTGGGATTACGTGGTCCCTAGAGTGAATACTACTATGCTATAGTTAATATAAACATCGGTCGTCTCATCCGAGACGCTACGGGCATATGTTGGCTTAATTAATATAAGAATAAGTTATTTCGTTAAAGCCGAAATCAAGAGTATTTGTTAAGTAACTAGGTACACTTTCGCAGTTAATTTAAGGCACTGTGATTGTTATATATAATGCGATAACTAAGACTTAGGTTCATTAACTATTGAGCTATTTTAAGATCTAGATCTTACTGTTCTCCTTTCTATAGACATAGTATATGTTATTAGGTTGCTTTGATCTTTTATAGTGATGCAAAATCTATAAGGGGTTACAAAGCTTAAGTAACCCACCTCTATCTAGTAAAGTAAAGAAAGGCGCACTACCCTGCGTATTAATAGTATTTACTATTCTCTTAATATCTACTTTAGTTATATTGTATACGTAATTTGCTTCTATCAGATAAGCCAGGCCAACAATGGGTAATTCGGTGCCAAAAAGCAGCCAAAGCTATCCTTAACAGAAAAGCAAAGATCTT